AAAATAGAAATCTCCCTTGCGTGTCCGACATCCTGTCTAGTACCCTAAAGTCCATCTCGGCAGCCAGTAGGATAGCCACTCCCGATCTACGGGACGTGGGGTGGTTGTTGAAGGAGTTGTGTGGGTAGTGTTGGTTCCGTAACTTCGGTGCGGAGCCTTCCAGGAAGTGGGTTTCCTGAAGCATAGCTACCGAAATTTGAGCTTTCCGGAGATCCCGTAGCAGGTGTGAGCGGCGTTCCGGCACATTTAGGCCCCGACAATTTAGACTCAATACGCGTAGAGGGGTAGGTTGGTAAGACATGGCTATTCCAGTCGGCGTCCCCAGGCACGCGGATATCCCCGATCGGTTCCACTGAAGGAGTCTCTCTTCTCCTACCCTGCAGATCCCACCCCCAAGTGCGGATGTCCGGCAGCGCCGCGGGGCCGGAGGATTGGGAGGCGCAGCCCCAGGCGAGACCAGCGGAAACTAATGTGGGGGGGAGGGTGTGTGTGGGAGTCTCCTCCCTTTGATCTCCCAAGTCTGATTGTTGGGCGAGGCGTGTGGTCTCGAAACACCCCAAGTCCGGGTGTGCAGTCAGTTCTCTATGTGGGTGGTGTGCTGACAGTGCGGGTTTGGTGCCCAAGTCAGGGTGGGGCCACCCAAGGGATAAAGGAAAGGAAGGGAAGGAAGGGTAAGGGATTGTACAGTAAAAAATTGGGGATAGGGATTAATCCCCAAGTAGAGGTGCCTCGCTCACGGGAGACGGGAGGTCACCTCGATACCTCCTATACTAGGAGGAAATAGTCGTGCGACGGTTAGGGCCGCCGGGGGTCACCCTGGCAACGAGCCGAGACGTGCGTCCCCGGGTGTCCTGCCGTCAGAAAGAGGTGCACGGCCCTTAGTTGGGGTCCGTAGTCCTGTCCCAGACCGGGAGGGATAAAACAAGTGTATGTGGTATGTGAGTGATAGTCAGAAAGTAGGCTCCGTCGTCTTCCCGACCCCAAGTGAGCCAGATGCTCTTGGACGCCACCTGGTAAAGTGAGCAGGAAACATCATACATATATTGCAACATTAAAACATGTAAGAAATACAAAAACAAGAGCAACAGTAACCTCTTAGGGGTAGCACCTTTCAGTAGTGTCGGGTATGCGTTATTCCCCCTGCTTCATGTCCCCTATCTCCCCTGACCCCCTATCTCACCCCCGGGGAGCCCCCTCCCTCCGGTTGTTTAGCCCCTGTTAGATTCTCAACAGCCCTATCATGTTGTGGTCTGTGGTCACGTTAGCTAAGTATGTATCTAGGATAGCTGATGAGTGTGTCCCCTATGGGTGCTTTCCCGTCCGTTTCCCGGGTGTCTGGTCCCTAGTCACGGTAGTGATAAAATGCGTATGGGTGGCAGTCTCCCTCCCGTCTTGCTGCCCCTCCCTTAGACATGTCCCTGTCCTATCACCAGCTCGGCGGGGCTGAGTGATATGGTGTCCAATCGTGCGTGCTGAGTAGTGTGTGTTTACATGGGTCGTGGAGGGTGTATAGCTATAAATGGAGGGCTACCCTACTAACTGGGGGTTTGGCAGAGGCAAGGCAACAGCAGTATATTAAATAACACATTAGTATGTGACAAAAGTAATAGAGCGATACGACCAGCATTGTGTGTGAAGCGTATTGAGATCGTTCATCGGATATACTTCGTGCTTCTTCCAGGGGGCTGGCGCGGAATTCCTCTGCAATGCCAGTCTTCCCCTGTCAAGGTGACTCTCAGCTCGGTGTGCCGGAGTCCCATTATGAGATGTCTCAAGCCAGTATGCCCTTGAGCTTGGTAGCACATATTGTCCCAGTCCCGGCCATTCCCCCTCCCAATAGTGTGAAGGCTAGAGGAGTGAGTCCAATGTCCGTATCGAATCTCCCAATGTTACGTGGTATCCTGGAAGCCCTAATGCAAAAAGTATCGTAGGACCCACCCATCATTCCCTCCCAAAGCCCATCAGTGTAGAGGGAACTGAGTAGTCCTTGTCCCCCCACTTTGTTAGTCTCGAGGAATACACCGTGGAGTAAAATGCGGAGGTGAGGTCCAGAGCACGTCTTCGGTAGCGGGCAAGGAGGGGCCTCTGAGTGTAAGGTATGAGGAGAGCAAGGCCGGAGTGTGAGAGGTCAGGGGTGAGAGACCTCAGGGGGGGGACTGCTCATTGTTCCGGCCCCCCTGGGGCATGACGCCTGCGGGGTTCCGGTCCTCGTGGTGGGTCTTCCCCTCGTCTTCTGGGTGCCCGCTGCGGTCTGGGTCTACCTCCCGGTGGGCCCAACACCCAGTCTGGAACTGGGATCGGGGGGAGACCCAACTCCTCCAAAAATCCCGGTATCTCTTCGGGCCATCTAGCCGATGCCCAGCCATTTTGGTGGCGGGCAAGGAGGGCAAAGGGGAAGCCCCAACGGTAGGGTATTTTTCTTTCTTGTAGAGCCGCTGTCAGGGGCTTTAGTGCTCGCCGTGCTTCCAGTGTAATAGGTGAGATATCATTGTAGAGGGAAACTGATGCACCCCCATATTCCCATGTCTGCCGTGAACGGGATGCTTTCATTATTGCGTCTTTTTCTTTGAAAGAGTGTAAGCAGCAGATCAGGTCTCGGGGGCCTTCCTCAGGGGATCTGGGGCGTAGGGCTCTATGGGCCCTGTCAAATTTAATGGTGCGCGGTGCGCCGTCCCCTAGTATCAGCTGAAATAGTCCAGTGAGGATTTCCTCCACGTTTTCTACCCCCCTGTCCGGTTCAGGGAGCCCGTGCACCCTGATGTTACACCTGCGCCCTCGGTTATCTAGGTCCTCTACCGTCCGTCTCATATTAAGTAAGAGCTCACCTTGGCGTGTTAGGGCCATGTCAGTTGCTGTGTGTCTCACAGTATGGGCCTCCAGCGTGTGTTCCACTTCTCTGATCCGGCCAGCCTGGGCCGCAACTTCCGTGCGAATGCCCGCCATTTCTGCCCTTAAGGCATCCTGGATGGTGGTGGTGAGGACCAGGAGGTCAGCTTTGGTAGCCATAGCGGAGGATAGGGAGCGGAGTTCATCTCCAATCCTCTCTAATGCAGCACCATGTGGCTCCCGCGGGGATAAGGCTGCCGGCGCCATTTTGGATCCGCTCGCCTCCTCGCTGTTCTCGGTCGGAGGCTGAAGGTACCCGTCCATCGGGCCGTGCGGGTGGCTTACCTGGGAGCCCCTGGGGGTTTGGGGGGTGTCAGTGCGGCGGTGGCGTCCCATTCGTGCCTAATATTGCTTGGTAGGGGTCGGGATTTATGTCGGCGGAGCGGAGCTCTCCGTTTATGCGGCCATCTCGGTCCGAGCTCAGGCCACGCCCCCCCTTAAAACAAAAAATTATGCAAATCTACATGAATATGCAAATTAGGAAAGCCTTGCTATCCAGGTAGTGCATTTAGCTGTTGCTACCAACGGAGGGCGCTACACAGGTTCCATAGCCAAATCCACCTAGTTAGTAACAAACATCAGCAGGACAGGAGAGCACACAAAACTGTTAACAATGCACAAATACAGTATTCCCACCCTGCACCTATAACCGGCACAGGGTGATTTAGACATAGGCTTAGTCCAGGGTCCTACATCAAGTGTCCGTATGAAACGCCAAGTGATGATGACTACCATCACAGGTGGCTTGGTTAGCAAACACTGGACATGCTTCACATGTATTCCTGCCCCTATAGTGTTAAAACTACCACCTAGTCCCCCTGGCCTCCCCTTGCCCCCCTACATAAAGCAACATCTTGCTTTTATTCAAGTCTGTAGCTGCTGGCTCTGCCTGGACCTGCCTTCTTGGCTGACATCATAAGAAGTGATTCTGTGAGCCAATCACAATGCTTTCCCATAGGATTGGCTGAGACTGTCAAAGAGGCAGATCAGGGCAGAGCCAGCACAAACCAAACACAGCTTTGGCCATCTCCAAGAGGAAAGTTCAGTGTCTCCATGCAGAGGGTGGAGACGCTGAATGGCAATGCTGCTTACTCTGCATCACTGACCCAGGAAGTGCCTCTGGTAGCCATCTGAGGAGTGGCCAGTGGAGGTCTCCATAGGCTGTTATGTAAACACTAAAAAGACAGTGTTTATTGCAAAAAGCCTGAAGGGACTGATTATACTCACCAGAACAAATACAAGATACTGTAGTTGTTCTGGTGACTATGGTGTGCCTATTAACCTTTGCTGGATGCATTTGATCTTGATGCTCCAAATGTGAATATTTTGAATCTTGTAATTTGTATAGGTTTCGGATGTGATAAGCACCAATTTTAAATCTGACACTGAATGCATCCAGCCTATTATTGAAGATTAAATCTGGGTGGCAGAATTCCGATTGAAATTAGCCTAAATATATAGCATATATGAGTTGCCATTCTTGTTGGCCTTCGGACATTTTCTTCTGATTTTGTCCTTTTAGACAAAATCCGGTGTGTTGTGCATAATGACCCTCTATGAGTGGGAATGTTAATTTGCACTTACTTTTTGACATTCGGCTTCCAATTTACTATGCAACCCCTATAAAGGTTTTGTCACTAAGCTCTGATCTCTAGTGAGCTGAAAAACTGAAGCTAAAATTGCTGATTTGACATAATTCTCCAGTTTAGCTATAGTAACAGCTTGGCAACTTGAGCCTCAATTTTGCCATTTGGTTCTCAACTTATAAATCGTAATTCTATTTAGTAAAATTATGGCTGAGGGATTAACATCAAACATAGTGTTGGAATGTAAGCTTCACATTTAAACCTAAACTGTTAGTGATCATTCTATTAAAAATACATTTGTTGTTCCGATGTGCTATCAGATTTCCCTGCCCGTGAAAATGCCATACCCTCTGATAGAACACCGGTAGGGAAATTTGATAGAACACCGTCTATGTTTAGCCCCAGATATCGGCATGTCGCCATCTAGTGTCTGTTCATGTTATGTCACTCTATCAGTGTCGGACAAGTAGTTTCGTTTCTCTGGTAGCTCAACCTGCTGGATGGGAGGAGACCTAGGATTGGTGTTTAGTGACGACGACTTTTCTTTGCTACAGTTAGCTCTCCAGTCACAGCTATGTCAGACCCCGTGGTCACTGCGTTCCTTACCAAGCAGCTGTGTGCCAATGGGGGGCGGCTCCCTAAGGCCAGGGTGGCACAGTATCTGGATCTACCACAGGAACAGATAGAGATCATCCTTCAGGAGGAGTCCCTGAGGTTTCCACTGTCCGGGGATGTGGTGCTAGCCCAGAGTCCGATCAGGCTCTGCCTAAAGTACCTGAATGGGAAGGAGGAGCAGGATGACTGTGGGAAGCTGCACCTTTGTTGCTCCTACCTGCGGGGTCGCTGCAAAAATGGCAAAAAGTAAGTAGTAATGGCTTTATTGGTGTGGTGAACAAGTATCCCAGTCAATGGGGTCAGAATAGGACTGGATCAATATCAGCTGATACTGGGCTATCCCAAGTCCTGGGAGAAAAGTGCCTAGATCCTAATTGTGGACTAGATATCATGAGAGGGTTTCTATTCTAATAACAGCATCGAAGGTCCACCTACCCAGTGACTAAGGAGAAATGACCCTCAGTACAAAAGTACAGACTATACCTGGGGGACCTGTGGCAGGAGAAATTAGGCTAAGAAATAAGGTCTAAGAAGAATACACAAGAATTAAGCAAACTGAATTATGACTCGGGGCAAAAATGATATAAATCAGATATTATATTGGTATTCTAAGAAATAATACCATTAGTATGAGTGGTAGGTCACATACTGATATGTACTAAGGAAATCATGGAGAGATAGATGTGAGACAGAAGTGCAGCCATGATTGACTTGGGTTTACTAAAGTTTAGAACAGGGGTCGTCAAACTTTTTAAACAGGGGACCATTTAATGGTCCCTCAGACACTGTTGGGGGCTGGACTATAAAAAATATGAACGAATTCCTATGCACACTGCACACACGCGCATGAGGACATAAATACACACACATACTGACATACATTAAAGGAACACTATAGTCACCTAAATTACTTTAGCTAAATAAAGCAGTTTTAGTGTATAGATCAGTGGTAGTCAACCTTTTTCTACCTACCTCCCACTAATGCATCTTTCTTGATGGAAAAATTTCCTTACTGCCCACCAGTTTTCGCGCAAGCGCGGAATATTTTTTAGAAAGTGTTTTTAAAAAAATAA